CAGAGGTACTTTTAATCTGAAAAGAGCTTCACTGAGTGAGAACTAATGCTGAGAGCTCAGCGAACAGTTTAGGTTTCACTTTCACTTTCACCCGAGAGTCTACAGGAGTCATGGGCGGGTTGTGTAGGGATGGAGGGTGGGGGCGCTCCCCAATGAGGAAGTTCGGCTTAAAGACACGTCCCAGGGGTGCTTCTGGTACCAAAAGGCGTTTCTGGTCCCCGTCTGTCATTTTGCTCCTCAGCATGGCTGCCTAAAACACTGCAGAATTTCTCAAACAAGCATGAATGAGTCAAAGCAAGGCTTTGTGCATGTTTTGTTATGAGATTATAACATTATAGCATGATATAAAACTCAAAAAATTGATTTACATGACAGTGCCCCTTTAAAGTTACCTGTGGCTGAGAGATGCTGGCTGAGCTGGGCTCCTGTGCGAGAGTTGTAGCTGCGGAGGTGAAGGCAGAGAGAAGCTGTCCATGGGAAGAGAGATCTCCTGGCTCAGGTGCTGTCAGTTACATCCAGAGGATGAGGCAAAGCACTGGCACTTTATTTCTAATCTTTCGCAAATGTTTCCATGAGATTTAACCATTTAAAAGTCTGCTCACTCATGTTTAGTTAGCTTCACAACGCACAGTCACGTTAAGGAAAAAGTGCCAGAGCAGCCGCCAAATAAACAAACGCAAACCAACCAGTTAGACCTACTTTATGGATGTGTGCGCCCACCCCCACAAACGCACACAGATGAATGTACAAGAACTTCAGACAATTTCTTAATTTATTTTGTCCACCATTTTTGTAATAATAAAGAGTGAAAAATCTTTAAAAAGTCAAATGCTTATAAAAACATTTTTAACTCAAAGGAAAATCTCAAGGTATGCACAGTGCATATAGCCGTATAGCTGCAGGCCACTGGTTACTACCATGTCTTTCTGCGGATTCTCAGTGATCCAGAACATGGACAATTAAAAGGAAAAAAAAGAAGCATCTGGACTTCTGTTCTGTAGCTGGAGACGTGAGCAGTTACTAGATTTAAACTGTCACGTTCAGACTGTCATAAAAAATATCAGATTTGGGTCGCATTTGCCTGCAGTAGCCTTGGTCACAGGACTTTCAACCCTTGCCACCAGTGTAAACCATTCCATCTCTCTTCCCCATTGTTAAGTCTCACTCTAACTGGTATCTGTTCAGATCTACTCCTGTGTAGGTGTGTCTAAAGCAATGTGTCCCTCGTTCTGTGGGTGTGATTCTGGGCAGATCATTGGCAGGCAGCTTCATCTATTGGGGTTTTATCATCCAGTAGTCAGACTAAAAAAAATAAAATGCCACAGCACTGTTTATAGGTGCACATGAAACCAATGATTGGTCAAAACCACTTAAAGGCACAACCATACATGTTAAATTGTACAAACTGTCTGTAATTTACACCGATTTTCCGTCATTTTGCCGGTATACGGACGTATAGAGCAATCTCATGGATTTGTTCGTGTTTTACAGATTTTTTTTCTAAAACTCAGTTTCAAATGTCAGAGCCCGTACGACATTAAAAAAACCTATAACATTAAATACTTCCAATGCACTCTGCTGCTAGAAATAAGTTCATGTCCTCATTTCCTTCTGATATTGCTGCAGCCGATAATCCGCCTGCACCACCCCGCATGTGATAAATACTGATTTTTTTCGAAAATTACAGATTTTTGAGGCTAATTATACAGGTATACGTCCAAAGGGATTGACATGYATGAWGAGAATGGACTTTTGATTCCACCAGCTAATGAACTTGACGCCCCAGTAGAGAATATTGTGTCGGTTAGACATCTTATTCGATCCATTCATCTCATCTGCCTATTTTGTTGTACCACTCTGTCAAGAGAAAGGCTGTAGGCATAGGCTCACCTTTTAGATGCTTTGTCCTATGTGGCAGAGCTTGCTGTTGCATGCTGCATGGTAGCCTTGAAGCAAAGATGAAAACATGCAGTCTTGTAAAGTGGTCTTTCAGAATGCCTTGAAGGGAACATAAATGTTGAGACTGACACCAAATTCTGGGAGGATTGACCCATGAAGGTGATTTTTCATACTTTTTTGACATTATTCCCTTCCAGTGAAACTTCTTAAACAAATCCGATCAGAAGCATCAGCAGTCCAATCCAGAGCCAATGCTGCTTGGCTGTTTTCACCTCACTCTAGATAATCTGGGTGAGTAATTCTGTTTTTATAGAGGCTACCCTGAACATTTGATCTTTTTCTCCCCTGTTTGAACATTCATAGTGAGAAACATGCAGATGAACCAAGCAATCAGTGACTTTTAATAATCGTCAACTGTTATTTGCAATGTGTTTAGGGGCCAAAGAAGGTTTTATGGTTTATAATTTGGCAAAACAATTGGGTAAGATATTTTAACAGTCCCTTGAGCAATTTTGATGAACTTGTAATGTCATTTGGCAGAACTAACACCCTTGTAGTTTTCCAGGCTCTCATCAATTACATCCTATGTGATGAAATCTAAAAGTGGTGGTGCTAGATGACATGTATGACTTTGCTTGAACTTTGTCTTTCAGTGAGTAGCGCTACTATCAGATGTTGAAACTGCACAGATGCATTTTTCTGTGAAATATAAATTGTTTTTCAAAGATTTTGCTGGTATAATGGGCTAAGACCCCTAAAGAACAAGTTTTATTATCCAATGAAAACACAGCTCCAAGAGGTCAAATAAATTTAACAAGCCTGGGTTTTCTTTGGGTTGCAAGTTTGGCAAAGCCTTGAAATATCCTCAGATAATGGGCACAATTGCAGTAATTACAACTGTTTTTTATTGGTCCATTTTTTTCAGGCTCAATGCATARGTAAAAATGTTTGTTTTGGGCATAATGTGATGTTTCTTCCACTCATTTYCACCTTGATACTTTCTTCAAAGGAATATCCGGCTGCCAGAATGAAGCAGACATCAGACACATGATGAGCTACACCCTGAACTGGTCACCAGGCCATCATATAAAAACTAACAAAACAGACCACACACAATCATGTCCTCCAAGGGGAATTTGGTGTAAATATCGATTGACCTAACATGCGTGTTTTTTTCCTTCTTTTCAAGCTATCATTCAAAACTGTTCTGCTATTTTGCAAATCTAAACTTTTTTGGGGGCTTTTTTTTCTACCAATTTAGATTTTTTAAAATTCTTCTTTTAGCTGCTTTCTGCTAATTTCAGCTCTTTTTTGTTTTTAGTTAATTTCATCTAATTTGTTTTTTTTCCAATTAAATTCACCTTTTGTGATCATTTAAGCCCCCCTTCATTTTTAGCAACTTTTAGGCTATTTTCAGCTTTTTTAGATATTTCAAAACAGATTGCAAGTACTTCTTTTCTTCTTTTTTTGCTGACGAAAACAAATTTCCATTCTCATTTCCTCATCTGTTTGTTTTAACTTGTTTCATGACAGTCATGAAACAAGTGACTTCTAAAAGCTACTTTTTGCTAAATTTTTGCCCATTTTTGTAGTCTTTATACTATTTTTTTTACTTTTGTTGTCCTACTTTCAGCAAAAGTCAGCTCTTCAAATTTAACTAGTTGTAATAGTTTTGCTATTAAACCTTTTCAGCTTMTTCAGCAGCTTTCAGTGAAAATATTTCAGCATTTGGCATTCACACCGCATTTTTGCAGGAAATGCAAATCCTACAGTTTAGCTTTTTTCTTTTGTAGAGATACCCCTCATCTAAACCACAACTATGACTTTAATTAAGAGCACCTCTAGGTTTCTGAGACCCCACATTATTCAAAAAAATTCAGTCATCAAAATACTCACAGAAAACTTACAAAAGAGTCATTGTTTTATTTTCTGCCTGTTACAACATAACCAGGTTTTTATTTAAAATAAAATTGAAGAAAATGATTACAACTGAGTGATTATTTGGTTAACTGAAAGCTCTTGTCGTGATAGACTAAACCAAAAAAGTTCTAAGGTTTTGATAATTATTACTAACAATAATACCTTGAAATTTAAAAACACTTTGAACCATGTGGGTGTGTGAGTGAAGCTGTGGCTTAGAGAAAGAGAGAGAAAGAAAGAAAGAACAGAGTTATAATGAATTATGTTTTCTTAACCAGTGAGCCCGTGTGAGCCGGAGGTTTGCCAGATGCCAGATGTAGGTTAAGGGCTGACGGCCTCTTACCGTGGCAGAGATCGGAGGACGAGGGGAATCAGCACCCAAGGCTTTGGTTAGAAGTTAGCTCTGGGTCTCAGCGTGTTGATGGGCAGCCAAGACAGGCCTTGAAGGTGCTGGTCGTCACAGCTTTGCTCACGGAAGTCTGAGTGTGGTCTATGGCATGCAGTTGCTGCAGGCTGAACTCGGCGTGACTCRATCTTGAAAGTTTTCCTTGTGGAGTTTAAAGCAAAAAGCTGCTGAGAAGAAGCTGAAAAACCAGCAAGGTGTTTTCAGCACAAAAAGCAGGACACAGCTGGGGGACCCCGCGAAGAGTTCCTCCAGCAGGCAAGAGGCGAACTAACTTTCAGACAGAGAAGCGTTGAAGCTGAGTGCCGAGCAGAGAGGAAAAACAAGGTAAGAAAAATGGAAAACATGGGTATGTTTGGTGCAGGTGTCTGGATGTGTTTGGGAAATCGTAATTCAGCACACGAACAACTAGCTCAATCCTGTGGACAGAGAATAATAATTCATTAAAACACAGTAACACATACACAGTCTARACAAATATAATTCATTTCAGAGTAAATAAAGCAAAACATATTAGTATAAGCACATTCATAGGCTACTGGTTAAATCAATGACTATTGATTAAWTGAACTTTCTTWGTTTGCAATCTATAAGCACTAATTAATGAGATAACTAAACACATGTTATAATGAACCAAACAATTAACTAAGACAACAAAACGAGAGCTTTAATGAATACAGACTAATAACAAAATGAGTAGGCACAGAAACATTATAAGCACGTACCGTAACAGTGTGGAAAACTTTGTTTTTCTTTTTTTCTTTCACACAGTGGAGGAGGTATTACACTCACGGGCTGAGGGAGGAAAAGGGAAAATATTTTGGTCTTAGGGGGCCTTTCAGCAGACCTGGGAAAYATGGGCATACAATTTAACTCCATTACTTCAGTCTCTTGTCAGGAGGGAAACAGAGGCTGACCCRGGTCAAAGGTCAACCAGAAGTGAGGGGTTTACCTACACTTTTTATTCAAATTTGTTTGTGTTGAGCCACATTAGTCCAATAAGTGGTCTTTTAAGGGTCCACCAGACGCGTTTGTTGTCCATATGAAAAAAAAACTTTGACTGTCTCTGATCTTCTGAGGAAGGATTTCCTTGTGAGCAAATGTAGGGAGCCATCTGTCAGTCATTTATGACCACTGCACCAGCTGCAATATCATTGATTGACTTGAATAATGCCTGACACCATGAACTTCTTCTGAAAGAAACCTTGGCATCCGTCTTTCCGCTCTTATAGAAGTTCACATGAATCATTACTTTTACAGTGTAAACTTTCACCAGAGTCTATAGGTCTGCTTTGGGTTTTATAAATCTTGGTTAAGTAAATGTATTGAATGAATCTAACATGCTGTGAAGGAATGCCACCCACCAGCATGTATGGAAAAGTCTTAAAGAAAAACATRTGCAACATTTTAGAGCAGGGGTGCCCAACCTTTTTTGAACTAAGAGCTACTTTTGAAGTCGGCAGTTTGCCTAGATCTACTCAACCAGTCTCAGTATCAAAAAAACATAATTTTTCATCTCCCAACTCCTCATTTCTTTAAAGTAAATATTACAAAACATAATGTGTTGCTAGTTTTATTTAATTTAAAGTATTGTCAAACAAAACTATCTATTTAACCATATATTTACGTCCAAAAAAAAGAAGAAAAGATAAAATCCTTACTAAACTCCTGACAGAGAAATAGAAAAGTGATGCTTGAACAAAAAGGATCAATTTTTTTATCTCCTTCAATTAGTACTCACTGTAACGTGCGAGCTATGAGGGCTGGAAACCTGCCCAGTGCGAGAACCACAGAGTCAAATAACTTTGGAGCAGGGGAACTCGTCTCCATTTATTCAAAGGACTCTCCTCTCTTCTCTCCATACAGGGGAGGAAAAACAAAACAAAAAGCTATCAGGGTAAACGTAGCTACTACAAGCATGCCACCCTTTTTTCAAAGTCAAAGCACACAATATAAAACTCTCTCGTTTATACTATTACAAAAATTGGCTTACGATGGTGCAGATTCAGAGATCTCCAACAACTATTTCAAACCTCAATCTGCAGCATGCAGGATGGTGTCATCTGCAGGTGCTGAAGACCGCGGTCCCTCACTGGTCCAGACTGCCATCTCCAGACCATTCAAAGAGTTTCACCTGTTCACCACCCATCAGACAACACACACACACACACACACACACGCACGCACGCACGCACGCACGCACGCATGCACGCACGCACGCACACACACGTTAGTTACAGAAAACAAACTGCAAAATAAATGAATAACACAAAGGTGCCAGTCAGTGTATAAGACACTAGTCTGGTCTAAAATGTAATAAAAAAAGCATACAGACACATTGTGACAAGTTTAGAGGAGACAACTTTTTTTGCCAGCTATTTAAAAATATGGTCGTAATCACACCTGCACTGTTGAGTCTGATTTAATCGAACTCTAGTTCGTTTCTCTAGTCCGGTTCGTTTGTGGAGGTGTGATTCCGTAATCGAACTCTGATTTGGACCAAAAAAGCGAACTCTGGCCCACCTGAAAACCTAGGTCTTGGTTCGATTGAAACAAACTCTGGTGCATTTCGATTGCATGTGTGAACGCTAAGCGGACCAGAGACCACTCCAAAAGCAGGAAGCGGACTACACTGCATGACGTTCTGAGTAATAACTAATAAATTTACTTATATGGTGTAAATACCTTGCTGGGCGACTGTATAAGCTGGACATCATGACTGTGGAGCTGGACGTGCTTCTGCTCGGTTAACACGGAGGTTCCTCAGCCGCCTTGTGTGCAAAACATTATCCATGGTTCTGCCTCATCTTCCTCTCATGCTGAGCTCATTGTTGAAGACTATTTGTTTAGCACATTTGCCAAAAACAAAAAATAAACCCTATAACCACTAAAATGTAACGTTACTATTGTTTGTTTACATTTTGTGAAGAAGGAAGCTCTGCTCCATGTCTTATTCTGAGGTTTTCATGTTGATTCCTTAGTGGCTCCTAGTGCAACGCCCCCACAGGTGAGGGCGGGAACAGGTTGTTTACTGGGTTTAGTTCGGTTGAGAAAGTGCAGTGTGAATTCAAACTGCACCAACAAAAAATGTAAACAAAGCTTGCAGTTTTGGTCCCCAATCGAACCGAGTCTACCGGACTATCAGGTGTGAATGTGACCTAAATGTATGTCTACCTTAGTGTGACTTCTGACACTGAGAGGAGGCCAGGGTCTCATAGGTGRGCAGTATGAGGTGGATGAGAGGCGCAGGCAGGTCTCCAGATGATCATCAGTCTTTGTGGATCTGTTCTTGGACTTGATGATTTTCATGTGAGAGAAAGAAGACTCCAGAACTCTCCATCCATGCGACTGGATTTGACCCCAATGTCATTTTGCAGAGTCAAAACCTCATTTTCAACACCAGAGAACAAATTTGGACACAATCATCCATCCTGGTGGACAACTGCACGTCTTTAYAGCAGCCGCTTCTTTCATAACTTCGTCATCGCTGAAAGATGATTTTTATGTTGAGCCAGCTGAGCTCGGTTAGGAGAGGAAATCCACCTCATAGCGTCTGTCTATTGTTTTGAAAGAAATGCCGTTCCACGTTATCCTTTTTGGACAAGCCAAGGCAGTGCTCGAATTACATATGAGTCCTCTTCCCACTCCAGGTGAAAATAATAAGTTTTTGTTTGCTTGTTAGCTTGTCTTTTGTTCATTTTTTTCKGCCTCTCTGCAATGTTGTGTACATGTGACCCTAAAGTCTCGCAAGATCATGTTCGGAGTGCTGTTTCACAGCACTCAAAACTCGCAAGACTAMGTCTGTGAGAATACAAGATGGGGAGGGCGGTGGGAGCATGTTGCTGAACATGTTACTTAAACTCCTCCCACCTCCCACCTTCACCGCTTCTGCTGGAGTGACAATGAAGCTCAGCRAGCAGACATGTCACCTTGCTCTAACAGCTGACGAGCCGGCTCGCAAGGTTGTGCTTCGTGGGCGACCGGTTGCCCGCTAGCGACTGGTTGGGCACACCTGTTTTAGAGCTCAGAATATGGCACACCTGATTCAAATAAMTGAATTACCTACTCAAAATGTCATCAAGTTTAACAAAAGCCTGTCAGTCACTTATTATTTCAGGTGTGTTGAAGCAGGGAAATACCTAAAACATGCAGAACAGGAACAGGGTTTAAGACAGGGCTATWCAACTAAATTGCTCCGAGGGCCACAGTTACTGCCGGTCAACAGCTGAGGGGCCGAACATCCAGCAAATAAAGTTATTATGTAAAAAACCTTGCTGCATTTAATCATAATTACAACATACAGAACCCTATAAAAGTAGTGATATTTAAACATTATCAAAAACAAAAAGAACACACTCTGCCTCCTATTTGACACAAATAATATTTTGACATCTGTGACTTGCCAAATTTTTAAACCAATTTCATTTTCACTTTCATCATTTTATCTTCAACTGCTTGTAGTTTTAACTGTCTTAAATGTTTATAGAAATGGTTTTTACCAGCTTGTAGCCAGGATTCTGACATTTCTGTAGATACCAAATATTTCTATGTTTAACTAAGAGGACATAGAGTAATTAAAGTAGAAAACCGGGGGTTTGGGCTTAAGAGATGAATAAACCAAATGGCGGGCCAAACTTTGGTCACTTGCGGGCCGGATGTGGCCCGTGGGCCACCATTGAATAGCCCTGGTTTAAGACCTCTGCTCTGAGCTGTGGCCATGTCAAATTTTAGCTCTACATCTGTAAAAATGACATCTTGAATCGGGTTAACTCCAAATGTTTTTGATGCACATGCAGTGGATACATTCTGAAAGTTKGTCAAAATTTCACTGAATGTTTTGGAAAGACTGGATGGATTTTGTTTTTCTGTCAGCAAACCCATTAGATCTATATAGTACCTTGTTTTAGAAAACAAAACTTAAAGCTTTGTCAGCTCATGACTTTTGGGAGGAGACCTGGAGTGTGTGCTTGTGAAAAATGCTAAGATAAAAACACAAAAGGGTTAAGGAACTTGAAACCTTGTGTCAAGTTTCAGCACACAAAGGTCTGGACCTCTGGTGATATTTCTTTCTCCTTGGGGAAAAGGATGAACAACTGTTTTCCAGATGGTTATGGTATGCAGCACACTGGCAGCAGTTCAGCCTCTATTTGGTCGTCCAATTGGTTTTGTTTGCGATATAGTCTCCTTCTGATTTGCAAACTGATCCCAGCAATAATTATTCTCCCAATCTTTAGAAAGCTGGGGTTCACTGAGAGGCATAGTTTGGCCAGTAACTTTAAGAATTGAAATTCTCACGTAGCCAAAAGGGAAATAAAAACATTAGTAAGAAGGCTGACCTAGATAGATGAAAATATTCATGCATACACAGATCTGCCAAGTCACATTGTTCAGCTCTCAGTTTTGGGTGACAAGGATGATTGTAAAACAATTTCTTATCAAGAAATAAATACAAAATGTAAAAGCTATTATATTTGTTTGTGTATTTTTATTTTTATTTTTTTCATTCAAAGCAAGGATTACCATGAATAAAGATATTTCGGAAAAAAATAGGCAAACAATTGATAAATGCTATTTCTTCTTGGTTGGAAATACATTATTTTGTTCACAAATGTACAATTAGTTGAAAGTGTCTCAGTTAAATAAAAAAGGCTCAATTTCACAGGATTTTATTACATCCTTCTGAGAAAATGTGGCTCAGAAATGAAGAAAGGTGCACTTGGGTAACATTCAACAAGATGTACGTGTCCCCTGTCACTAAGGGATTTGAAAGCGTCTGTAGTGGGACTGAACAGTAAATGCAAGTAAACTTTACTTTTTTTAAATGACTAGGAGTTGCAGAGTATGAAACCAAAGGTTGTTTGTTTTTTGTTTGTTTTCTTTTTCCTTTATTGCTTAACCAAGGCAACACAAAGGGACTAATCCTTTGAAGCTGAGGGAGCAATTTTATCCACCACCAGGCGCAATGGCAGAGGCAGGAGGTGGCCAATGGTGGCCAATGGTGGCCTTTCCCATCATAGATTAATCTTTGGCCAACCCCAAAGGCCATCCSAATCAAAATGATACTTTTATGCAATATAATAATACAGTGGTATGCAATCCCGGTTCTCGAGAGCTGCTATCCTGCATGTTTTACTTACTTAACCTTTCATTCAAATCAGGTGTTGAAGCAGAGAAACAAGTAAAACATGCAGGATAGTGGCACGCAACAACCAGGATTGTCTACCCCTGTAATAATGCTAAATGGACTGTACTTATATAGTGCTTTTCTAACCATCCAGGACACTCAAAGCACTTCACACTCCAATCTGTTCCCTCATTTACAATGGAAAGCACAATTTCCTCAAATGCTTGGGGCAGATGGCATGAAGAGCTGTAAGCTCAGAGAGAACCAGATTTTTGGTRTGCTAGATCCTATAGGTAACAACTTGCCTTTGCACGTTAGACAGAYCACCACATTAGCTGCTTTTAAAACTTCACGTAAAAACCCACGCTYATTCTTTAGATTTTGCTACATCTAAGATCAGAATGTTCATTTTTATATTTCTTCTTTTTCTTTGTTTTAAAAAAGATGTTCTTATTATTTATTGTTGAGTGTTTATTTTTACTGTATTATATTGTAGAGCACTTTGTCCCCTTGGTGGARTTTTAAAGGGCTTTATAAATCAACTGGGTTGGAATTTTGGTGGTGGCCATTTTGGATTTTGACATGGCAGCCATGTTTTATTTTATAGTGACATTTCATATGTCTAGACTTAGTCAAACAAAAAATGGATTATAAACATAGTTAATACACTGAAAAAACAGGCAACTGGGTAACAACTTTGTCAAAACATCTGTAATCAGTTGTTTGGGAACAGAGAACATGTTTTTGGTCAGGCAGACAACAAAAATTATCCATCTGTTCGTTGATACATCTCAAGGTGGCGAATCCAATCAGACAAGTAGTGTGGACAATTTCGCTGAGCTGAGCTATCAGCTTCTCCAAGATCAATTCCATCTGGCCAGCAAAGTCCAGGAACCACGGCCGGCCCGCAACCCTCAGCAGAACYGCTTGCAGACCTTGTCCCAGCTCGCTCAAGGCAAAAGTCTGAGTGCTGAGAGTACGGCAATCCTTCATATTTGTCAGGCAGCCAGGAAATGGCCTGAATAGCCACTGACATTGTTTTGTAGAACACCAGGAGACCATCAAGCCAAACTGTAGAATCCATTGATCAGAATCCAAATATATATCCAGCTAGTTGAACAGAGCAGAACAGAGG